TAGATAGATAGATAGATAGATAGATAGATAGATAGATAGATAGATAGATAGATAGATAGATAGATAGATAGATAGATAGATAGATAGATAGATAGATAGATAGATAGATAGATAGATAGATAGATAGATAGATAGATAGATAGATAGATAGATAGATAGATAGATAGATAGATAGATAGATAGATAGATAGATAGATAGATAGATAGATAGATAGATAGATAGATAGATAGATAGATAGATAGATAGATAGATAGATAGATAGATAGATAGATAGATAGATAGAGAGAAAGAGAGATTGATAGATAGATAGATAGATAGATAGATAGATAGATAGATAGATAGATAGATAGATAGATAGATAGATAGATAGATAGATAGATAGATAGATAGATAGATAGATAGATAGATAGATAGATAGATAGATAGATAGATAGATAGATAGATAGATAGATAGATAGATAGATATATATATAGATAGATAGATAGATATATAGATAGATAGATAGATATATAGATAGATAGATAGATAGATAGAGAGAGAGAGAGAGAGAGAGAGAGAGAGAGAGAGAGAGAGAGAGAGAGAGAGAGAGAGAGAGAGAGAAAATAGATGCTGGACAGTTTGACATCATGGCATGGAAGATTATCTGTGCCATAAGTGATTGAAAGTACACGAGACAGAACGTTGTGGGTAGACAAAGCTACCAACACCATACGGCATAGACTATGAAAAACAAAACTGATAAACCTGGCTTATTTTTTATTGAGACTGTTGGCTCATCGTCTTTTAGGCAGACGCGCCTCGACTTTGAGGAAAATTTCGATGATATTTGCGTTTGTCAAATTCATAATAGCTATGACGTGGAAAACGAGATTTGAACAGTATAAACCTAGGCTCTGCACCACCACATGATGCTCAGCAACTCTGAATTCTGTGAAAGTAAAGGAGCCCTTTCCAGGCCAACAGGCGTACTGGGCATGTGTTCAAGGTTGAACGCTATAGTCGAAAGGATCGACTTCATTGCACCGGGTTTTATCCCATATGGCTCGGTCTTTCTCCGCAGAATGACTAGCATGAACTCCGTAGCGTCGGCGAAGATCCCCAGGGATCTCTGTAAAAATTGCACTCGTGAACTGAACGACGCAGCCGTGAAACGAAATCGGCTCTCGGTGGGTGATGTGGTCAACATCATGCCTACCACCTTTACTTCCTATGACTTTTCTTTACCCATTTAAGGCTGGGTCGACCTGGGAGCCAAGGTCATTTCTAAAAGATAAATAGTTTAGCACTGTCCGGAATGAAACCTATGACCTTCTGATCGGCAGGCGAGTATCTAGACGCTACACCACTACGGATTCCCATCTGTATCCTGACAATGTGAATGTGGCATCAGGAAATTTTTTGCACAGGTGGTTTACTTTGAATAGTTTGCTGTTGCTGATTTAATGCTTTAAATAAAAAAGATTATTTTAGTCTACTGGTGGGCGTCTATATTAGGAAGAAAAAACTATGCTCTTTCAAGCATCTGTCATAAAAGAGTCTTGACTGACTGACTGAATTTCTACCCCACTAGGACATCACACAAGCGATAAACACCTGATGACACAAAGTGCCACGATGTGGATGAGGATCGCCGTGGAGAGGTCCCAGAAACCGCGTTCAGACAATTGGCCATATCTAGGGCCTGCCTATATTGCGGCCCCCGGCAAAAGCCAGGGTGGAGCTTCAAATAACATAAAATTTCATCCTGAAAAAGACGAAACTGGATATATCGATGATTAAAAAAAAAAGTCTTGAATGTCTTACAGTTATATATTAGAATCTTATCGCAGTGGGTAGATTTTAAATGAACAATTCGTCAATAGGGCAACCCATCAGGTTTAAGACTCTATGAGTAATGCTTTTTTTATGCAAAAGAATAACGCTGCACAAACTGAAGGACATAAAATACAAACTGGAACTAGTCTTTCGTGTGGATCACTGTGACCTTTTAGAAGTTTTTCCCAGGGTGCAGCAGGGGTTAGGTAGCATTCACGCAGTTCTTTTCCTGTTGCGCGGGACAAGGCGCTCATGGTTGTGTCCTCAGTTCATTAACCCGTCTTGGCACCAGTATCGATGAGATACTCGGACACAAAAACATTTCCTAAATAAATACAGTATACACACCGTAACTTTTACAGCATAATGCTTTGTACTTCTGAGGTGAGAGGTTCGATTCCAAATGCAGGCGATTTGGCAGCAGACCATCTTGTGTTGATTTCTACACTGCTATTAAAGGTCTACAGTAAGCAGGCGATGGCAAGCTACTGAACGTAAAGTTTCATAGAATGACCAAAACAGACAACAAATTTCACTGGTTGGGTATGCTAGCGCTCAGTAAATGATAGGCAAGTAGTCTTTTTTTTTTTTTTTAATCGTATAAGCTTGTAAATATCCTGCCATTTTTATGACGACAAACAACAAGTGAATACAAGACATAAATATCACAAATGCTTGGCCACATTGCATACTCGAGACAATCAGGCAGATCGGATCCAAAGACAGGGGATTGTGTGAGTGGCGAACCATCATGGCTCACTTGAAGAATCAGCGCAGGACAGAAAGATGTTATTTCAACGCTGTTTGTGCCAGTTTTACTACCGTGTTTCTCCGAAAAAAAAACACACACACCTGGTCTTGTAATAATTTTTTTGCTAAAAAAATGCACAGGGGTTGGGGGCGGGGGGGGGGGGGGGGGTGGGGTGACGTTCCAGGTCCAAAAATGGACATTTATCCACGTACCTAATTCTATATTATTGCAATATTGTCATTTTATCTTGTCTTGGACCATCCTTTCAACTTGTCAAATCCCAGACATGGCATTGCATTTCTTGCGAATCCATTTCCTGTAAAACCATTGGCCCCAATCTCCTTGACGACCTTAACCAGGGCTTACTTTACGCCTAGGGCTTATATTTAAAGCATCCTGAAGAATCATGTTGACTTGTGTGTGTGGGGGAGAGGGAAAGGGGGGGGGGTCGGAAGTTGTTCAAGGGCATCCGATATTATACTGTTTCTCGTGAAGTCTGGTCCGCAGCTCTTCCCATATATTCTGTTTTCTGAAGAAGTCTGTCACTACTGCATGATGCAATATAAGTAAGTTGTTTACTCATGACGTCTGTGGCCACTACCATTATCATCAAGTGCTTTGCCGACTTGCGATCATGCCTCTTCACGATCTGCGATCCGCAACTGCGTGAATCAGCTCGTGTGGTGTCGAATCTCTATGCCATGACGAAAGGTTGCGAAGAATCGTCTCGCGTTGTCTTCCTCTGTCCTTCTTTCCACATATCTTTCCAGTGTTCACAACATGCTCCATTTTACCTTTCCTTCAAACACGACCAACAAATGACGACTGTCTCTGTCGCCACTACACGATGCATTAATTGTAATCGCTTTCTCTGACTATTTGGCTGCTTAATTCTTGAATTTTGTTGTTGCATATGAGGAATTCAATATGATATTGTAATATATGTGTGTGTGTGTGTGTGTGTGTATGTGTGTGTGTGTGTTTTCATATGTTAAGACTTAGGACAAAACAAGGCCTGACGACGACTTCCTCTGATGCCCATAAATGCTCGAGTCTCTCAGCTCCCTGTATTCAAATGAACGAACTATATGTGTCCCCTTTGTATTCAGCCGGCTGTCATCCCCTGTAAGCTCTTGTGCTATCTTGATCAAGGCTTCTCAATGCCGGGATGGTACTGCAAATAACTCAGATCGGATAGTCGCGCTTTTGGTACTTATCGATTATATAACAGCGTCAGGAATTCGCGAATGTCTCGTTACATAAATGCCTCGGGACTGTTCATCTTCCAGATAATATTATCTACGTAGCGAATTTGAACCCAAAAGCTTGTGGTCGACAGACAAGCGTCTGGATATTTGTGTATTATCAGAAAGTAAACTTCGACGGATTCGCAAAGCTGACCCTGGAAAGTAGAGTCGGGTTTTCTTCGTATGGAATGGGTTACATGAATCCAGAGTTGCCAGATGGTGAGAGTCACGTGTATATTTTGACCATGCTATTCAGGTGTGTTTGGAAATGAGCAGGCATATAAGTTGGCTGAACTTTCCTTTTTATGGTAAACTGCATCTGCACTAGGCAGACGTGATCCATAGCCTGTGGAACAAAGTAACTGGTGAAACGGAAGATATCGAATTCCTGTACTTGGAGAGAATGATACAGCGAGGATTGGCTGTGGGCTGTTGGCGCCACTCGGGACTCAGAGAAAAGGCAAGACGACTAGTTAACCAGATGACAACAGGTATCATCAGAATAGAAATACTTCGTTGTTTGTTGAGGAGACAGGCGAAGCTAGTATGGGCTGTTCCTGAATGCTGTGATGTCGAATCTGTATCCATATGAACCTTGAGTATTTAACACGGTTTAAATCTAAATATTTACTTTGTTTCATTTGAATGCATATAAGCATTTTGCCTTCAACTTCATTTTTGTTTGTTTTACTTTTGCAGCGTGATCCATCACTGGAAAGCCAATTTAAAGGCGCAGAACTCAACAAAAGACAACAACATAATTTACACTGTTAAACTCACTGTCATTTAGACTTGATTCTGTCTGTGAAATACACAATCATTAATTTCTGTGGATATACATTTCAAGACTAAAAACAATCTCAGAAACCAGAAAACCGAAAACATACCTACGACGATGTAGATGTGACTGAAACAGGTTTGTTACACACAATAGATGACTTGGTGGGATAAACAATTATGCCAATATATGGAAAATGAGCATTGACAACAAATTGATCAAATATTTATCTATCGCTTAAATAGGATAAAATGAAGAAAGGACACCCATTCTTCCGCGATCCATCCAGCATGAATTTATTACGAACCATCTCTGTCAGCATGCTGTTAATGCACTTTATAAATCACCCCGTTGCCTCGTCAGCAAAAAATGCGAAAACATCTTGCAAATCTAGAATCTTTGGCAAGATGTACAACTTTACCAGCAACCTGGAGTTCATCTCCAACAATAACGGAAGCCTGATTAATCCAAAGAACATGAAACCACTCCACATCAATGTGGCCTTCCTGATTAGCGTCAGCAATTTTGGCAGCGGGATTTTCTATGGAGCGGCCTTCTTCTTGGCCATCGACGAGCTCCAACGGATAGCAGCCAACGACGGGATCCCAGTCACTTTCAACTGGACCTTTCGCGATGTTGCCAACAAGGAACCTAACGCCATCAACGAGATGGCCAAACTGCATTGTAAGCAGAAGGTGTCTGCTTTTATAGGCCCTGATGTCTACTGTAAGCCCGCTGGCCTATTGGCGACAGCATTCCACATTCCATATATGACGTATGTAAGTATACGATTTTCTTCTCTATTTATTGCACTATTTAATACACTTTTGAGTAAGTTCATTACTAACTTTCTTTATTTCCACAACCATTCAGTTTTGTATCATGTTCCTATTTATTTATTACAGTGTAGTGAACTGTTTATTACTATGAAGTGCACGGAACTTTTTATTATACTATGAAGTGCACCATGTTCTTCTTGATATGTGACACTATTAACTAAGTTCACTATTTATGTCCTTATTTATCGTACTATTAAGTACACTATTTGATATGCACCATATTGTGTTTTAAATTTATTACAGCATTAAGTACCCTTTTAAGTAAGTGCACTATGAATTACACTATAAGTGTATTGTGTTCTTCTTTATTTATTACACTATTAAGTAATACATTTTTAAGCAAGTGCACTGTTTCATTTTTAATTTATTACAGTTAAGTGCACCCTTAGGCAAGGGCAATATTTCGTCTTCATGTGTAAACTATTAAGTAGACTGTTAAGTAATGCTACAATTTCCTTCTTTATTACACTATACCGTGGAGTGTGTCCCTTTTTTAATTACTCTATTAGATATTCCATTAAAAACTATTCTTTTTACTTCTGTATGTGTTACACTATTAATTGCAGTATTCAGTGAGTGTAACATTACCTTATTTAATTATTATACTATTACGTACACAATCACTGTTATTCGCGTAGCACAGGAGATACAAGTGTAACCACACTTATAGTAAAGAAATGGGCATTAGAAGTCACACTGACCAACATAAAAACAAAAACAACAACATGGAAACCCATTCTGATTTGTGATTCTGGTGATCGTGTGAGACGTCGAAACAAGACAGCCTACGCTTACTTGCACATACCATGAGGATAATGACGTCTGCTAGAAAGCCAGAAGTGTCGTTCTTTGACTCCTGTTTTTGATTTGTCTCACGACATCCTGGGATCTGAAGCATCCGAGAACATCACAAAGACCCAAAGCTCTTCGACAGAAGAATGGAATACAGAAATAATGTGGGCCGTATGGAGGAATATCATCATTAGAGCTGACATAGAACACCACAGATCTACTCATTGGCTTGAACTCTTTGCCATCTGACATGTCAAATGGGGCTGGGGGGGGGGGGGGGGGGGGGGAGGGGAATACAATAAAAATGAAGCTTTCACAGAGAAGTAATAAGTGAAAAAATTGGAGAAATCTATGGATAAATTTTGTTTTTAGTCTAAGCCATAACGACAGACTCTGATCGGCTTTGCTTAGCAAAGCACTCAGGGGACATTCATTTGGCTTTATTGCCGTCTAGTTGGACAACGCTAGCTGTCAACACTTGAGGGTGGCTGACAGTTGTTTTATATGGTCTATCAGCGGTAGCAGGCTATCATTATCCCCGAGGTAACGTGGCTGGATCCGGCGCTGTAGTTTAGAGGGTAGTGAAATAGTTTCACCATCCAGCCCTCGCAGTACCAGGGAACGCTTCCGAGGCGGGTGGCTTAGAAAATAACTGTTCTCGTGTTTTCTTCTCCATTGTGTAGACAACACACACTTTTAATTGAAATAAATCTGATGTTTTTACTGTTTTCTGTTACAGATGTTTGTTACATTAATTCCATTGTGTCTACATTGTCAGTTTAACCTCCTCTGTTTTATATCGCTGTTCAGCTAGTTCAGAACTTAAATATGTATTATTAATCCCTGGTGCCGAAATTATCAGTTTAACGCTGTTCAGCTGGTTCAAAACCTGAGGATTTATTGTTTTTAAGCTCAACTTCTTTCTCAAGAAGGAGCTAAAAATAAAAAAACATCCGCTTGGGACTGGGAGAATAAATATGGTTGGACCCCGGGTTGCTTATTTTAAACTCCAAAGTGTGGCTAATAACTGCGGTGTATAGTTCGTCAGCTCTGTGAAGAAAAATTAACCACACCCCAATCTGTGACCAGAAAGCTCAATGGAGGAAATGGACGCGGTGAGTACAAATACAACAGACCTATCAATCAGTCTTTATCAATACACACAAACTGTGAATAGAAAACTCCACTGACAAAGATTTGTGTTGAAACATTCGTTGTGTTTGTCCGCCGCTTTTCCAATCCTGCTGTGAGCTTCCAAGTCAGAATTTGCTTTACATTTCCTGTTTCGTGATTTCAGCCCTACCACAGTCGCCCCTATTTACAATGTGCCTCAAGAGTGCTGAAAACTGTATATAACTACATTAAGCGAAACCACATAACTTTTTGCCTCCTGATTTATTCTCATTATCTTTGTTTTTCCCTTATGGATTTTTTTTCCCATCTAGTTGTGATCTCGAATCAAATAGATTTAATTCATCGTGCTGATTCCGTGACTGGGATAGAAGAAAAAAAAATATCATCAGCGAAGTCCAGAACATCAAACTGTTTTGTAGGGTCTACTGAATTCCTTTCCTTGTGTTAGCAGTTGCTTTCTTCGTAACCAAATCTACTGGCAGTAAAACTAGGAGAGGCGACAAAAGACGTCCCTAACGCATACCATTTATTTTTAAAATGTATTTATTAGCTTTCCATCATGAAGAACTCACATGTCATGCCTTTATATGTTGCTTTTCCTAAGTTTATAATTGTTATTACATTAATGTTGTCAAAGGCTTTTTTCATTGTCTGTAAATCCAGTGGTGAGTTCAGCTTAAAAAACCATCGAGTTGATATGGTACAGCTAAACTACATAGTTTATTTATATTGTCTATGCTGCCCGGCTCGCTAGCGTAGTTGGCTAAACGTGACTTCGCGACGACCGGGTGACGAACTCCTTGTGGTCCGGGTTCACGCCCGGGGGTAGGCAGAAAAGCCACATTTCTCCCAGTTTTATGGTATTTATCATGGAATCAAGGCCGAAGGGTTGCGATGTCCATAACAAAGAGCCAGAGGATTAAGAACTCATGGTTTCTGGATATTAAACAAAAAATATTGTCTATGCTGAACAACACATTGTGGTACACCCAGAGAAATTTACACTCGACAGGTGCAAACCAGTACTTTACACCTGTCCTTGGTCATAATAGACAGCGGTTCTCAAACTGGGACCTGGCAGACGTAGATAGACAAGTTTCCTATGAAGACGTGAGCATCTGCATGAGAGGGAAACAACCAATAATTTGCACAGTAATTTGCACACAGATAAGGTAAATCAGTAAAGTAAAAATGCATTATCACGCCTTAGGCGCATCGGGCATATGGGAAGAGGGTCCCATATTCTTACAGACCAATCGGCACTGGATGGGTAATGTGGTCAGCATTACACCGGCCGGCACACAGATAAGCCAGTCTGTAAAACGAATGTTCACATAAATCTAACCTCCTTTAATAAGACCAATTTCCAGAAATGGATGAAAGCCAGAGTTTTTCGCCAGAGTTTACGTTCGATAAACAACGAATAAAGATGACGATTTGCATTGCTAATGAAAAACGCGTTATTGCATTTTTCAGCCTTCGAAACTGAATTACACATGTTCATACATTTCATTGGTCCGCAGAAGAACACACCAGATAGGGACCCCTTACTGTTTACTATAGCAGCCATGTTTTAGGTGCTAAATGAGAAGAAAAGTAAACGAAGACAAAAACTGAGAAAAGGCGGCACCAGTCTGCAGTAAATAAACTCGAGAAGAATAAAATATACCTAACAGTGACGTTTAATACAAGCGTAAATTAGACAAGACCGCTTGCCATATCTCATGTTTTACGGTGGATTTTCTGTGGACAAGCCACCTGTTAGCACTGCTCAGAATAAAAATGTTGTTGTTGCAAGAAGATAGGCAGCACAAGGTGCCAAATCAGCCATGTTCCAGTGCTCCCACCGTATAAAACCAATTTCTTGAATACTGTGCGGTAACTTTACACTGCCAGACAACATAACATAGCAATGTCAAAAAGCCAGATGGCAGGAGAATATTTGCCTTGTCGGTTGGTATTGCTTCACAAATGACGTCATGTGTAGTGAGGTGGACTAATGTATTCTAAGACCCTGTGGTGAGGGTTAACGGATTTAGTCTTGTCGCCGGATGTCGTGTTCAAGGGAGATCTTTTGTTGCAGATCAGACAGTGATGTGTCTGCCGTTTTGTTTCTTTGGTGTCTCTGTTGGGGGCATAACACTATTGGGACACAACAGACAGACAGACAGATAGATAGATTGGTAGACAGAATGATAAACGGACAAACAGAAGACAGACAGAAAGAAAGACAGATTATAGATAGATAGATAGATCGATCGATCGATCGATCGATCGATCGATCGATCGATCGATCGATAGATAGATAGATAGATAGATAGATAGATAGATAGATAGATAGATAGATAGATAGATAGATAGATAGATAGATAGATAGATAGATAGATAGATAGATAGATAGATAGATAGATAGATAGATAGATAGATAGATAGATAGATAGATAGATAGATAGATAGATAGATAGATAGATAGATAGATAGATAGATAGATAGATAGATAGATAGATAGATAGATAGATAGATAGATAGATAGATAGATAGATAGATAGATAGATAGATAGATAGATAGATAGATAGATAGATAGATAGATAGATAGATAGATAGATAGATAGATAGATAGATAGATAGATAGATAGATAGATAGATAGATAGATAGATAGATAGATAGATAGATAGATAGATAGATAGATAGATAGATAGATAGATAGATAGATAGATAGATAGATAGATAGACAGATAAAAGGAATGTTTTCTTGCCCTTCGCCATGCTGCTCTCGCTATGTTCTAATAATCAACATCAATATCAAATGCCATGCCGACTGGCGTGAGCGATCTTGCCTCTTCACAATCTGCGATCTTCAACAGCATGTATCAGTTTGTATGTTGATACATCTCCAGGCCGTGACAAAAGACTATCAAAATCCCCTCGCGCTGTGTTCCAGTGTCTCTTTTTCCATATATATTTTCAGTGGTCAAAATTCGTTCCAGTTTAATTCATCTCATAACATGACCA